AAATGTATAATATGGACATACAATTGCTGGTTGTTTTGTTTGCTTGTTAAATTATGTGGATATATTCACTGGAATACTTGTAAAAAAACCCTCAATGACATGTGATTCCCTTACATTTTTTAAATTTAAGAAGAGGGGTACTTAAAACTGACACACTAATTCAGCTTTCCTCAATCTGATACACTCCAGATATATTAGATTACACCCCCTGTATCTCCTGGTTAGCATGGCTGAGGATGCTGGGAACTGTGATCCAACGTAGTTGGAGGTTACCAGGTTGGGAACACTGAATTAATAATTTTAACAACCCAAAGAACTCTGCATGTTATACCAACAAGCAGGGTTCATGTGACTTCCAATAAGGCTACTGAGGGACCTTCGGTTTCCTTGTCTCTACCTTCTTTCTGGAGCCATGTTAAGACTACCCTTTATGACAGGGCATTTAATCTGCTTTAAATAGTATATTGCGGCATTATGTCAGCTGTCTAACAGGTCTTGGAATCTAATTTGTGTTAGCTATTGCAATATTTTCCATTTGGTTTTCTATTTGGCTGTTAAATTTTGTAGTGAATTTTATGATGTTTGTATGGTTATCTATATTTTATGTTATTTCTATTGAATCTTGAGGTATTGCTGTAACCTGCCCACGAAGCTTTGGCTATTGGGTGCTACAGAAATTAAAAAAAAAAACTTATTAAATGCATTTTACACTGAGGCGTGTACACATTTCAAAGGCATGTATGCATTTGCTCACTTATTTGCTCACAAATAACCCCCTGAACGACTAACTGCAACTTTGAAACTCACAATTTGACCTAATACAATATTCAACTGTATTTGACATTGGCATATATTCATTTTTACTAATGAACTTATGAAATGAAAAAAATAATGTGCTAGAAAATTTTCATTTTTGGAACATTTCCCAGGAAATTTTCTAGCGCTTTATTTTGAGATACTGGAAGGGAATTTTTACTAAAAGCACCGGGAAAATGTTCTCCCCACATTGCAGCATCAGGGGCACTGTACCAGATTCCCTTTGGGGAGAAATGGAGTTGTGCTTGTGTGCTTCTTGGAGGCATTCGATTAGCTGGGAACAGGATGCTGCCCTGGGTGGAAACCTAGACCAAGCCAGCAAAGCTCTTCCAGTGCTCCTGCCCCTACCAGCCATGGCTTCAAGAGTTAGCAACCCCTGGGGAAGGTAACCACGGAGAGGCAGTGAGCCTACCTTCTCACTGCCAGGATGGCACCTACTGCTTCTTCTCAGCAGCTCCACTGCTGGGCCAGGGAAACAGCCCAGGTGAGCAAGGAGGAAGTGACAGCAGAGGAGTTGCTTCTGGGGGTCTCATGAGTGGGCCCCTTTTTGAGTGTGTGTCCTTGGCAGCTGCCTGCTTGTGCTTACCCTGGGCGCTCACCCAGTTAACCATGAAACTTGCTGGATTGTGGATTCCTTAGTCACTGTCTCTCAGGGCTCTGTGCTGCAGGAAATGACATGAATGTCACTCTCCCGTGATTATTCATGTTCTTTCCTCCATCTGCTCACTTTTTAGACATCAGCACTGCCATCCTCAGCTTTTGCTCGGCGCTCCCATGAGACAAAACTGTTGCTGATTTCACATTGTCGGAGCTTGTTTTCAGCTGGCATTTGCCAGTCTTCTGCCCTCCAGATGTGCTGGTTGGGGGATGCTGGGAGTTGTAGTCCCACACATCAGGAGGGCCCCAGGTTGCTGTCATAAAATCAGCAACAGTTTTGTCTCACGAGAAGTAGTTGTTTTTCTTTCCAGAGGGCTGGCCGCACTAGTCTGTCGCAGAAAATCACAAAAAGGCTTGCAGCATCTTAGAGACTTAACGTGTTTATTATGGCACACGTTTCTGCAAAACTGAGTCCACTTCGTGAATACACCTGAAATACCATCCTGAATAATTGGGGGGTGGGGCAGGGAGAGGGATAGATTGCAAACTGCAGTCAGGGAAAGAAATGCAACAAGTACGGACCGTGGGAAGCATGCTGATACCCACGGCCATTCACACAACAGTTGCTGCTCAGAATGCAGTGGATAAGCCAGTCACTACATGTAGGAACAAAACACCTTTGTCCTGACTCAAACCCAGCCCTCAGAAGACAGCACTGAACCTCCTGACAAACAGCAACTCAGCAACTTTCATCTGTAAGGTTGCACCGTGATTTTATTTTTCCATAACATTGTTAGCTACTTCATAATGTTGGAACGTAAATGCAAAATTAAGAAACAGCTGCTGGTTTGTTATCTTCCACATCTGCTCAAGCAATGAGAGAAGGTCACAAAGTTCACTGAATAGACATTGCTAGTGTGGTGCATGCCAAACATTTCAGCTTGGTCTGGTGGGCAGAAGTTGCAGGAACAAGAGCGTGGAGAAAGCAAGCGAAGGATGAGAGCTGAGCCTGCACAATCTGGGAAGCTAAGCAGGATCGGCCTTGGTTGAAATCTGGATGGGTGACTATAATGTGGCAAGAGCTCAGGAGACGGTGGTAATGATAATAATAATCATTATGAGAGCTGACAACCGCACCAATACCAGGAACACACAAACCAGGCCCAGCCTAACTTTCCTCTTCTTATTTACATAACCTGCCCTTGAGGTAGGGAGCGAAGGGATCTGAAGGCTGCAATTCTGACAGGGAGTTGCCCCAGTTAACTCAGTGATACTTATTCCCAAGTAAATACGCACAGATTAAGGGCGGGGGGGGGGACTGTGTGATGTGCATTCATCTGCACACAGAGCACAAGATCATAGCCTTGGTGCTCACTGGAATGAGCGTAAGTAACGACTCGCTCACTGATTTCACACTCGCAGCCACTTCCCCGTCGCCACAAAACTCATTTCCCTCCAGTTTACATACAGTGAAAAACACGGAAAGACCCTTTTCACGCTCAGGCACCGGCAAATCAAAGTGGTCCACGCTGGGCCGTAACGAAATGCAAGAGGACTTCAGCGGCACATCTGGACCTGTCCAGGCGACGGAGCTGCGTGGATGGTCAGGGTGGAAGGCAGAGAGAGAGGAACCAACGCTGCTTTCCACAAATCTTCTGCCACTACGTTACTCCTGAAGAAGCGGCGAGGTTCTCTAGTCGTGCTTGGCGACAGAAAAGTGTGCGTGCGCGCGCGCGTGCGGGAGAAAGGATGACACCCGCGCGTTCTTATAAGAAAAGCACACTTCTTGGACTGATTCTCCAGAGTGACCCAAACGCGACCCACATCCAGAAGCTGCTGGATCGCCCGCTTCCCAAGTCTCTCCCGTGGGAAACAGCGCAGGGTCTTACCTGGACGCCTCCCTTCTTTGAATTCTTGGCTCCCTTTCACCGGCTCCTGCCTGCCGCCAGGATCACAGCCGCATCCTCGGCCACCGGCTCCCTCCTTCGCGGATCCAGCGGCTCTCCGCGCCGAAGCAACAAGCCCGGAGGGACTGGATCCCTCCTCCGCGCGAGGGCCGAGACAGCGCCGAGGCGAGTCGCTCCGCCGGCGCCCACTCAGCTCGCGCGGCTGCCCGGGGCTGGGAGGGAGCGCCGAGCCCACGTGGAAGGCGCGGGCGGGCGCGGAAAGGCAGCTCTCGCGGGGCGGGGCTTCGGTCGGCGGGCGCGCAGGCCGGCGAGCGAGCAGGTTCCGGCTGTCCTGCGCGGGAGGGCAGGTTCTTGGCCGGCTCCAGGCGCACGGGCCGAGCGGAGAGCCCGTTCACACGAGTTGATCGCCTCCCCGCCCCCCGCAATTGCCGTTCTTGCCGGAGTGTTTGTTAACGTGTCCGGCGGTCCGATTCCTCCAGCGCAGGGAGATGGCAACGCTGCTCCTCCCCGATCCGCAGCGTCTAGGAGTGACTTTATTTGGCGACCACCTTCACCCAAGCCAGGCTGGGTCGCCTCCCCGGCTTGTTTGGAAGGCGGAGCTCCGTTCTTGAGAGAGATGTATACCCAACGAGAGCTGGCCTGAGCATGCACAGAGTGCGTTTTCTTTACCGCAGCAGCCAAAGATGTATCCTGATTGAGCGAGGCAGGGCTAAGAAGTGCCTGCGAGAATGGAGGCAATCTTTTCAAAAATTTACCATTCTGGCAATATTTCTTGCGTTAATCAGTGCTTATTTTCTGGAATACAGGGGGGATGCTTGGAGTTCTGAGTGGAAATCGTTTTTGTTCTATTCTTTCCTGTTAAACCTTGATTTGATTAACTATTATTAACTGTTACCTCTTTTTAGTGTGGGGTTGCAGGTTGTGTGCAGCACCCAGGGAGGAAGGACAATTTGAGGAGCAATCCCGGGGAACAGCCTATTTTCCAGTCCTTCCTGTTGAGGCTGGAAACAGCGCTCTGACCTGGTGAGAGCTCATTTCCCTTTGGTGTGGGAAGAATTGCACCCGCTGCCCTCTAAGGCTGAAAAAGAACCTGGAAGGAGGAGGAAAAGGGTCTTCTGGTGGGCAAGGAGGAAGGGATTGGGAAAACAATGGGAGAGCTAAGGCTTAACACCCCCCAAATCCATCCCAAGTTCCCAGTATGGCTCAGACCCCCACATCTGTAATTTTTTTTTTAATCCCTCATTCGTCCTGCTGCTAATTGCTTGAATTCCTTGTCAGATTCGGCCTTCTTTTGTACCACTTTGTACAACAGTAACTGTCCTATTTGGAAACTTGATCTTGCATGTCTAATCCAGCATTCTAGCCCATGATTCTGAGTTACTAGGATGAGGTGCCCAGTCCTAGATAGACAATTGGTCTATTTAGCCCAGTGCTACTGCTGACTACTTGGAATTACAGTTCTGAAAATGCTTTGACAGAATGTGATTGTGTGAGGGTACAAATGTCTGCCATTTGAATGCAAGCATAAGTTTCCTGGGTTTTAGAAGAATGTGAAGTTTGAAGCTAGCTTTTCTCAGTGCTGGCCCCCCTCCAGATTCCTTGGCAGTGGCTCATTCCTTCATCTTTCTTTCCTGCAGTCTAGTCCTCACCTTGGCCTAGTTCACTTAATTGGTGATGTATAGAAATGTAGGGAAAAACCATCTATCTGCAGCATCAAGAACAGCTGCTACTCAGCGAAAGAGAATTGCATGTGAGACCTGCAACTAAATGTTGCAGCGCAGAATGTTCCTCTTCAGCGCACTTCATTTTCCCTCTCCTCTTCCTTCCTAGTTTCTCATTCCTTCTGTACAACAGCCATCATTCTGTGGCCACTGAGTTGTTTTTGGATTCTTTTAGAATTTTCTTTTCCTAATACATTTTGGACTGCTGCAGACTCAGGTGTTTTCCCCCTACCTGCTGATACCTGCCTCTTGTTGATGGATGGTGGCATTCTGGCTACATAAAGGCCAGCATTCAGAGAAGTGTGTTGGCTCATGAAGTCTGGAATATTTCCCAATGCTTTAATGCGATTGGAAAATTAACAGTGTGATCCATGGAGGCTGCCAATAGCCAGGAATGTGAGGATGAGGCTGAAATCCGGCTCTCTTGAGCTTGCTGGACTTCTTTCCCAATCTCAGCCCAATCCTGGCCTAGACGTTGAGCCGAGCTGAGACCAAGTCTGCAGACACTTGGTGAAACTAGTGGCTTCTTGTGCAAACGATGTCGTTCTTTGTGCAAAATACATAAGTTACACACTTCTTTGTGCAAATGACACAATGCTTTGTGCAATGTTTGCAAAGTCTGCAAACATTTATATAATTTGTAATTAGGAGAGAGACGGCCAGAGCCTGGGGAGCCAAGCAAGGAAATCTGAGGGATTCCCACCTGCAAACCAGGGCTGCTCAGCTGCCTATCTGGGGCTCTGTTCAGAGGAGGGGAGAATGCAAAGGCCAAGGGGCCTCCGTGTGCCTCCTACCCTAAGAGCAGACTGCTGATTTTGATTGTCTTACATCTGTACTTCGGAGGGGGGAAAGGAAGCTGAGACAGCCGGGATCCGTGTCCCCATGCGCTAAGCTGCAGAGCGCCCAATTGCTGGGTGCCGAGGGGTGGAATAAGTTTTCCCAGTAGCAATATAGTGTTCCATGATGCTATTCAGAGTATGGACTTGATGGGCAATTAGGACCCATTTGCTTTACAGAAGAGCCTAGGAGATCCAGGGTGGTGTAGTGGTTAAACTGTGCAGGACCGGGATTCAGGGGATCTGGATTCTACCCACCCCCCACCACACACACACTCAGTCATGGAGCTCACCGGGTTCCTTTGGGCCAGTCACAGACACTCAGCCTGGCCCACCTCACAGGGTTGTTGTGAGGATAGTATGGAAAGGAGGAAGAGAATTATGTCAGCTGCCTTGAGTTTTTTGAAAGGACCAAAGTGGGAAATAAATGTAATAAAATGGAGATGAAGAGGACCTTGCAAGCTGCCTTGAGTTTCTTGCAAAAGGAGGAAAGGCAGATTATAAATGCAATGCGATAATGACAACATTGGCGCAAATGGAAATGGATAAAACCAGTTTGTTGAAGCCGGCGACGTAACTCCCTGCTCTTTTGGCCTTTTCTTGCAGGCTTGGTTATGGGCACTGTTGGGATGTTGCCTGCCTGCCTGCCAGCATTGACCACTGTACTGCTGCCGATGGGAACAGGAGGAACAGAGCGAGGACTAGCAAATCCTTGGTGCAATCTGGCGCACATCTCGTATTTTCCTCCTTGCAGACTTCCACCTGCCGCTCCAGTGTCCCACAAGGTGCTTGGGAACTGATCTCTGAATGAACGCTGGGGCTCGCTTCCGCTCCTTGTTTGGCTGATGAACCATCACGGCATTTCCTGCATGGATGAAAGGGTTCCATTACCTTGAATGAGAAGCCGGAAGGATGTAGGCAGGAAAGCAGAAGTTGAAATCTTAGAAGTCTGAGTTGGCAGTTTTTCCACGTAATGCTGTCTTCTGCGGTTGGTGCGATTGTTGTCATTAGCTATAGGTTATGCTGTGTCCCAAGGGTAGGAATGCGGCTCTTGCAATGCTGTAACAATGGATGGTGGAGGAATTGGGTCTGTCTGATGCTGCATTTTTCGAGCAGGTTTTTCCAAGCTGCTGTCTTCCACAGGTGTTAGACTACAGTGCCCAGCATTCCAGCTGGGGAATGCTGGGCATTGTAGTCCAGCACTTCTAGAGGGCACCAGGTTAGAGTAGAAGGCCCTTTCACTTCCCTGTAGAGGTAACTATTATGCTCCTGAGAGAATGAATGCAGCCAAGCTCCCCTATTCACTGTCATGGCTAAGAAGCAGCCGTCATCCTATCTTTGTAGAGGGCTGGGATACCGCAGCACAGGGGTGCGGGACCTCGTGTCTGAGGGCCACATCTGGCCCACCTGGAGTCTCAGTGCAGCCCCTTCTGTGGCCACACCCCCTCTCCCCAGCCCTCCAGTTGCTTGGGAGTTTCCTGTTTTGTTTTTTTGTAGTTTCCTTGCACTGTCCTGAAAGGTTGAATTACTGGCAGAAGGAGCTTTACATTAAAATACATTGGTGTGGGCATGCGTGCATGCATGCGCATGCCATATCACCTCAGGCCCCAGTTCACAGCTGTCATGAGAGCTGCTCCGAAATGGAATTTGGCCCTGAGGCTGAAAGGCACCTTTGGCAAAGCTGCTAAGGGGCTGAGCTGCAAATCCAGAAATCCCTGATTCATGTGTCACCTCTGCCATGGGCTCTTCAGGGGGCCGTAGGTGAGCCTGGCTCTTTCTGTCTCTGTCAGCACCAAGTCCACATCTGCAATATGGGCGCATAATAATTTCCATTTATTTTGCAGAGCTGTTTTAAGGATTACAGCGGAATAATGCATGGGATGTGCTCCAACACTTGAAAGTGCTATTCAGTTATTTACTGTCCAACCCTTTTGAAATCCAACTGAACTTAAAAAATGATGCCCTTGCATACAGGTCAGTTGGGGAGCGATGCTATAGTGACGTTCCTAATCCCAGACTCAGGTTTGGGGGCATCCTCTGCAGAGTGGGAAGGGATCTGCCTTTCTGCTGAAGGGCATTTCAGAGGGAGAGGAAAGAAGCTGCAGAGGCAATACCTGTGGCCTCTCCTTCCTACACTCCAAAATCCTTCTGGCCCTCTTGCCTTCCCTACCTTGGAGAACAACCAGTGTGGTTCTTTCTATGCCAACGCAGGAGCGGGGGGTAGGGGGTGGGGGTAGAGGTACATACCTCTGACTCCTTGCTCCAACCTTGGTTCAGTTTCCAATCTTGCATCTAAACACTATTCTGTGCCCCCAAAGATGTGTCTGGGGCATATAGGATTGCTCCCCTAATTCCCAGTTTGGGTCTCTGAGTGTCCCTTTTACCTCTATTATACATTGTATTTCCTTCTAGGAAAGGAAGGGCCTGCGTTTCACTGGAAATATCTACTCGTATCTACCCACACCTGTGCTTGGAGAGAGGGTGTGGTAGGAAGACTGCAATATTATATCTGCTTTTTTGCAATTTGTTTGCCAGTTCCAATTCTCAGATAGGTAGAGCTGCTTGAATACAGGGTGCGGTTTCTTATCAGCCTTTTGCCATTGTTCTCACCAATGACATCAAAT